TTTAAAGCCATTTATTTCCCCCTTGTCAAAAGTCTCCCTCCAAGCCATCTGAACACGTTTTGTTTGGAAAACTCATCTGTGAGTTTTTCTTCCAGCAGATGTRGGGCTGTGGGCTTTAAAAACAGGGCCTTATGCAGATTATTGCTATTATTATTACTTCTTCACCCATTTTTCAATGCAATTTCCTCCCAGGAAAATGCATTCAGCACACAAAATTACCATAAAAGCTATATATAACACCCCGGGTGACACTGAGATGGCAGAATATAAACAGGAATATGAAGGGACAAAATGCAGGTGATGCACAGATATTTTCCTCAACCTACAAAGGGTTATTGGGAAATTCCTGGTGGTTTTGGGATGCCCTTCACAATTCTGGCATTCCAGTGTGCYTTGTATTTATGGGAATGAGCTGAATCCAGACATCTAGAAGATCATTTACTGACCAGAGAGACCATTGCTGCGAAACAATGGCACCACAGAGTGAGGCAGAGGGCTCTACACGTGATTTTAGGGTTAAAAGAGGCCCAGAGTTCTGCATTTCATGGGGAAAATAAAATGAAATAAAATTAAATTAATTAAAATTAAATAAAATGAAATAAAATTAAATTAATTAAAATTAAATAAAATGAAATAAAATAGACTCAAAGTGGGTTCCTCACACTCATTGGTCAATTTTTGAAAAAAAAAATGGATGAGAAATGGGATTTTTGAAAAGAATCAAAATACCAGCCACACCAATTCAATTAAAAAACTCACCACTTTTCTTCCTCATTACCAACACTTTCTTTTAGGAACTATGGATTTTAAAATAAACCACAGCCAAACAGAAAATAAATTATTACGTTCGCTGCTCTTCTACTTCCTCCAGCATTGTTTATGGCCTGATGGTATCTCAGAGCATCTAGAAAACTCTAAAATAAACTTTTTTGTATTTGAAAAAACAAACTGACCCAGCTGGGCTGGAGAACGCTCTGCATGGGAGGAACTTCCCAGCTCTGGGCACCCCAGGAGTGACCCTGAGAGTGGGAATGAGCTGAGGGCTCACAGCCAGCCCTGAAAATTCCCATAAAAATTTGAGATTTGCTTCTAAGCAGATCAGGAGCTCTGCCCAGCACTGATAACTCAGGGCAGAGCTCTCTCAGTGCCACCTCTGCCATGCTCTGCCAGGGGAGGAGGTTTCACATCCTGAAATTACACCGAGCCATTTGCTGCTTCACCCCTAAATTCATGAAGAGCAAAAACAATCTCAGGGCAAACATCCCCCCAGCCTCAGGCAGAAACCTGACCCCAAAATCATCCCAAAATGATCACAGATAAACTGATAGTATCTTGAGTAACCAGAAAAAAAAAACTCTGAAATAGGTGGTGAAGCCCATTAGCTGCAAAATGCTGCTTTAAGCTCCGCTGCGTGTTTGAATGGGCTTTTAAAAACAACATTATTAAACCATCCCTGTTTTGCATTAAACCCATGATTTGGACACRATTACGTGCTGGGGATGCAAATATCAAATCACTGGGCAAAGCCACTGCTGATTTCCAGCGGGAACAGGGCTTGTGTGTCATTCTGACAGATTTTTTTTGGGTCTTTGGGGTTCCACCGTGTCTGATATCACTCACACCAGTGAGCAGTCACTGCCAAACCAGCACTGATCCCTTACAAGAGGGAGAAAAGAACAACTCAGGTGGATTTATGGCTCCTGGCGGAAAATCTCTGCTGTCTGTCCCACCACCATCAGTCATCCCCATGAACACACTCCCATATTTAAGACACAAATTTGTCTTTTCCCATCACGGAATAGCTGAAGGGTTAAAGGGAACACTGTCAGGTGTTTTGGGGTCACCAAGCCCCAATGTCTGCGTGTCTGTCCCCATCCCACAGCAAACACCCCTGGTCAGGGGCAATGCAGGGCAGGTCCCTCGTGTTCCCAGGATATGGAGAGGATCCTGGGAAGGTTTGGAATGGTTTAGGAAGGGAAGGGAAGGTTTGGGAAAGGAAGGAAAGGTTTGGGAAAGGAAGGAAAGGTTTGGGGAAGGAAGGAAAGGTTTGGGGAAGGTTTGGGGAAGGTTTGGGGAAGGTTTGGGGAAGGTTTGGGGAAGGTTTGGGGAAGGTTTGGGGAAGGGTTTGGGGAAGGTTTGGGGAAGGTTTGGGGAAGGTTTGGGGAAGGTTTGGGGAAGGTTTAGGAAAGGTTTGGGAAAGGTTTGGGAAAGGTTTGGGAAAGGGAAGGGAAAGGTTTGGGAAAGGGAAAGGGAAAGGGAAAGGGAAAGGGAAAGGGAAAGGGAAAGGGAAAGGGAAAGGGAAAGGGAAAGGGAAAGGGAAAGGGAAAGGGAAGGGAGAGGGAAGGGAAGATGAACCGAGAGCCACAAGCCTGGCCACAGCCCCGC